CGCGATCGCGAGCAGCTTTTGACTGCCGCGCGTTGTGAATAATTGCAAATTTTGTTCGAATGTCGTTTTGTCGTGCCCAGCCGAGTAGTATATGAGTTTGTGTGTGTGAGGCATTTAATTGTATATGTATATAGAAATGGCGACGACGTCGGGGCTGCCATATGTATGTGCCATGTACATATGTATGTATCTTCATATGTTCGTATAGATATATATACATATACATTATATATATATATATATATACATAATGAACAGCAGGCTGGCAGACATGACTGCTTTATATGCCAATCTGTATGTGTGCCTTGCTTGGGTGGGGCATTCCTAACCTCAAATAGTAACAATGCGCCGACGACAGCCGAGTGCATGTCTATCTGTCTGAGTGTGGGTGCTGCCTGCTCCTCTCTCTCTCTCTTTCTCTCGCTCCGTCTCTCTCATTTCTCGATGTATGCTGAAAAATGCAAGCACATGCTTTTCAACTGAGTACGCCCTTAACCCTGAGTTGGAGCTTGCTATCAAAAAAGTTTCGCAAATCCGATCAGACACACACATGCACAATTGCCAAAATTGTTTGTGTGTATGTGTGTAACGTCGCCGCGGGTCTGGGCAACATTTTTGTCTAAAATTAATATTTGAGCGACAAAAAGTTCTGTGGCTGTTTGTGTTAGTGTAGATTTTGGTCTCAGTGTGCGTGCGTGTGTTTGTGTGGGCAAAAGAAATTTGGAAATATGTAGAATCTACAATGTGTAGAATCATGTGGTCGTCGCTTCAAACATTTTCGCTGCTATTTGCGTCACTCTTTTGCCGCCGTCGGCAAGAATTGTAGTTGTTGTCTCTTTGCCTCTTTGCGTGAGTGTTTCGCCTCTGTGTGCGTACCGAAAATTTGTTGTTGTGTCGTTTGTTGTTGTTGCTGCTGCTGGTGCCTTGTGATATCAAAACGCTAAAAATAAACCCAACCTCAACTAGAATTTTTTCAAGTCTTCATTTTTAACGAGCATTTGGTTCGCTTTTGACCAGCGTTAATTCCGTTTAAATGGCAGAAAACCCCAGAAGCAATTACGCGTCAATGACGCCGCCTCCCGCCCGCCTGTACGAAAACAGGCATTGAATTTCACAATATGTTCTGTGTCCGTTTTTTTTTTATATTTCTCCTTTTTAACTTTTCTGGTCTTATATTTCGTTCACACTAAACTTCCGTTGCACTTGGCCTGCGTCGCTTTGGCTGGCTGAGCTTTTTTCTTTTCTTTGTTGCTTTAATTGTTCACACACACGCGCGCTGCAAAGTTTAACTTCATTTTCTTTTTAGTTGTCCGTCGCTCATTGCACACAAGCACAGAACATACACATATACGCACATATATATATATATATATATATATGTATATACAGAGAGACACAATCGGCCACTTGATGTGCAAATGGCCGACTGTGCGGCCGCCTAGAAACGCCGTGGCCTTTTATTTTATTTGGTTCTGATTTTGACTTTGCCTTTTGCTACTTGCTATTTTGCCAGCTCTCTGTCGATTGAGCAAAGCGAAGCGAACCGCGCACGCCGGCTGTTGGTGATCAAATGCTCAATGTTGCTGCTTAATCAAAAGCCGAATGCGCGAATTTTATTTCGCACTGCCACAAAGTCGACGCTGCTGTCGCTGCCGCTGCCTCTGCCAGCGTCGTCAGCTGTCTATGTGCTGCAACACACAAACACACGCACACACACATACCCATACAAAAGCAGCAGCCGTATGTGTTGCTGTTTCTTTCGCTTCCTGCTTCCTACACCGCGCTTTCCGCTCACCAATACATATGCACATGCATACATTGCATGTACTTTTTGCCCAGTTCTCACTCACGGGTTCCTTTGTTATAAAACTGGCAGGCACCACCAGCCAACTGACTGCAACAAAAAGCCCGCACAGTGGGCCCTATAAGACAGTTTTTAGTTTCAATGAAATGATAAATTGGTTATCAACTTTTACCATTATTGTTGTTAACAAAACAAATGAGCCTTTAACCAAAAGCTTCCCAATTAAATATGACTTGTACAGTAATTTGTCAATCCTGTTATTTTGTTGTTGAACTTTTTCTCCATTACAACCTCTTTCTTATTGACATTTTCATACATGTGTTCATATATCTTAATATAAACATGTGCAATAACAACTGTGAACAGCGATTCTATATTACCTATCTTAATTTACAAACAGATGTTTAATATAAACATTCAAATATAATCGTAAAAATGCAAGCCATGCTCATTAGCTCACAAGCGCCATATTTACTTAACGGCACTTGTCCTACAGTAAATTACACTGTTTCCACTCTCTTGAAGTTAGTCTTTTTTTTTTATCAGTACACGAACCTGAAAAGTAGCAGATAAATTATATAATATACAGCGTTATATGATGGGTTGCTTAATCGCCAGTTATTATTTGCACTTCACGAATTAAGCAATGCGCTAATGAGTCAATATAAATGCAAGCAAGTATTTTTCTGGGTTTCTAAAATAAATTCGGACAGATTAAAAAAAAAACAAATAGTCACATTTATTTTTTGCTTTAGTGCGCTTTGGGGGCTTAAGTGTATTTCATAACATTAAAGATCCATTTTTATTTTTTCGTTTTTCCCACTTGTGTTGCATTTTGCAAATTCATTCATTTTTAATAAAATAAATTCAAAATAAATTTCAATCTGACTCAGTAAAGTTTACATACAACCTTTTCAATCATTCAGTCAGTCAATCAGTAATGTAAATATTTTTATATTTTTATTTATTCACTTTACACGATTTCGCCATACAACTTTTTCTTTGTAAAAGCTTAAAAGCGCCATTGGAACTTAAAAGCTTTGACTGCTTGCAGAGACTCGCATGCTCCACTGTGCGACAGATTGATGTCTGTGTCTGGTAGGGCGGAATTGTCGCTGCCCGGCTGGCTGCTTCGCGTGCTGCCGACGTCTCTGCCGATGTTTGCTGCCGATGTTAGCTGCCGCTGCTGCTGTTGCTGCTGCATATGCTTTTCGGCCATAAACGTGGCGTGCAGTCGCAGTGACTGCCATCGGCTGCGTCCCTCGGCTTGTGCAGTTTTTGTGTCTCTTCAGCCCCTGTCCGCTGCTCGCTGCTCGCTACCTGTCTGACGCTTTGTTTTTTGTGCTTTGGTATTGGTGTGGCGTTGCCGAGGAGTGTCTGGGCGGCAATGTCAATGCGCTGCTGCTGCTGCCGCCGCCGGTTGCCTGCCTCTGCCTCAGTGCCACAGTGTGCACTTTTTGCGATGCGCTGTTGCTACACAAACCGCCCCAGCACCGCGCCCGCCCGCCCGCTTGCCCACAACACAACTACGACCATGTAAACGCGTTGGCTTTTCTTGCCCGCTTCCATGATTCATCTTGGGGCCCCTGAAGTGATGAGCTCAGTGGTGAACAAAAAGAAATCTCAAGACGGCTGCGGCTGGTTTTTTTTCTCAACATTTGTTCGCAACTCGAATATATATATATTTAAGTCAGAATCCGAATCGGTATTGTGGAATTTTCACTATTATCAATTGGCTACCAACAAATACGTGAGGTCTTAAGCGCTATACACAAAATATATAATATGAAATCTCTATGGAAATTAGGAAGAGTCCACCAAGCACACCTGGGCGTGCTTCCAACCACGTGGCTAAGGTGATGCGCTCGGCTGTGCCGGTATAAAGGGCTGCCAGCGCAGACAGGAATCGTCGATTTTGGGAAATGTGCCGCGTCGCTTCACGCGCTCCTCATACTCATCCAGCACATCCTAGAGAAGGGGCACACAAGATTGTTAGAATGCTCAAAGAAAATAAAGATCTCCTTTAACTCACCTGCTTTTTGAGTACTATATGCTTGCCCTTCCAGTACTTCATCATGCCCAGCGCCTGCAGAGTGCTCACAATGTCATAGGAATAAATGGCCATTTCCTGTGGGAGCACAATAGATACTATGAGTATTAAGTCTTTGGAACTTGTCATTTTATTCAATATTCACCTGAGATACGTCCTTGATGCAGAGCGTATTGCCGGAGCGATTGCATAGATAGTCCAGCAGTACGTCCTTCCAGTAGGAGCGATATGATATAAGTCCCAGATCGGACAACGGCTTCTCCGGCGAACCAATTTTGCCCTCCACGCGGGTTAGCAGATAGCCTGGTAAAAGCACATTAAACACATGCCCATAAGTATGCTATAGATGGAACTAGCTTTCAAGTTCCGGCGCATTATTTATGGTGACCAACTTTGCCCCGCCCACATGGCCCCAAACGAACCCAACTCAGCGTTCTGTGTTGTGTCTAGACAGGATTCCGTAAAGTGTGTGTCCCAAGAGGGTGGGGAGCGACGACAACAACAACAAAAACAACAACAACAATAATGACGACGACGACGGCGGTTGGCAGCCCGGCCACATGAATGACGAGCGGCGGGCATTTAAACAACGTTCTGGCGTGCATTCAACCCAAAAGCTCAACCCCCAAAGCTCGACGTCGCCGTCACCGTCACCGTCGCTGTCATCGTCGCCGTCGTCTGGCAGCAACAATTCTCGAGTCTAGATAACAACAACAGCAACAATGGGTGCAGCAAGTAAATCAACGAGGACGAGCCCGGCGTGCCCTCACAACACAAAACCCACTGAGGCAGGCTCGGGAAAAAAAGCCAACAACACAGACATACAATACATACACAAAAGTACGCGCAGCACACACATACACATACACACACACACACACTCATACATATACGGACGCTAGACGCACTCAACAGCAGACACAACTGCAACTGGTTGAGTTATAGGGCGGACGACTTAAGAATGGGCGGGCAGCGGGTGGGTGGAAACCGCGTGTGAAAGCTTATGCTTCAGTTGTTGTTGTTTTTGTGTACAATGGGACAAGCTAAATAGTAATTGATCTCTCGCGCTCACAGCTGTGCGATATATCGATAGCATTATGCGTGCAACGGTTGGCAGCACAGTTTATCGATAGGCACAAATTTGTGGCGTCACAACAAACCAAACATATGTGTGCGCCAATTTGTATTTTGCAGTAAACAAAAATGAAGTGCTCTGTGCGAAATTGCGATTCTACCAGTGCCATGGATCGCAAAATAATTAGTTTCTTCCAATTACCGAAGAACAGCAAAACAGCCAAAAAGTGGCTGCTTTTCTGCGACAACCCGAAGCTGAAGAACATGAAAGGTACGTTTGTTTGCTCGGATCATTTTAGGCCCGAGGACATAGGCGGCGGCGGGGCACTCGGAACAGGTTTGTTAGCAAGGTTAACAGTTAATTAATGAACAGTTACTAATCCCAAAATATATTTTTATGAAGCTATGTGCAGACGCCGACTTAGAATAGGTGCGATACCATGCATCAGAAAATCAGGTAGCGGGTCATCAAAGGACCGACTCAAAGGAAAGAAACAACGCAACAACAAACGTTTAGAAAACGATCTTTTAGCCAGTTCAAAGGTCGGAGAAACAAAGTCTGAGCCGGAGGACAATGAGGATATACAGGACGCTAACTGCGAAACTCATGCATTGTCAGAATCAATACTCTCCGCTAAATCTAAGGCAGACAAATTTTTTGATAATTTGGATACGGAAAGCTCAGAGGCTGTCATTGATGAGCTAAGTAACCAAGTGTAAGTTAAATTATTTATATAAATAATATTTAGCTATAAACTATCGTCAATTACAGCAAAGATCTGCGTATGGAAAATCTTCGCCTACAAGTCAACATTAAGGTGGTCCACAAAAATTACAATGCTGAAATCAGGGAATTAAAAAATAAGTTGGAACAGGCTAGATCGCAAATATTACAGCTTGAGATGCAGCTAGAGGAAAACAAATAATAGGTAATAGACGATAATAGATAATAGAAATAATAGATAACCTAGTTTTAGATGCCTACACATTCTATCAGAAGTGGTACCATAAATTTAAAATACTTTACGACTAAGCTAAAGAAAATAAGAAAATATACAACAGACTACAATTAATGTCAATAGAATTAAAGGAATTAAGGGAATTCTGCCAGTCTTAGAGTCATTCTAAGATATGCAGAATTGTCTAATCTGAAGGCTTTAAATCGTCCCGAAATTAAAATCGGTTTATATCAGAAAGGGGAAAAAAAGGGCCTTCAGATATACGATTTTTGCGCACATATACTTATATGAAAAAGTCTTAGCTGTGTTACGTCACATTATTCGTCGTTCTACTTTACAACCTGTGCGTCCCATTGTACCGTTTTGTGCTGGCAAAGCTCTGCTGAAGCGGGAATATACGCTACTCGCATACATATGCAGTCGCATTTTGGGTAGCATTTTGATTTCTTTGCGTACGTCGTCAGCAGCGGTCGTCGTTCTCTCTCTCTCTCTCTCTCTCTCTCTCTCTCTCTCTCTCTCTCTCTCTCTCTCTCTCTCTCTCTCTCTCTCTCTCTCTCTCTCTCTCTCTCTCTCTCTCTCTCTCTCTCTCTCTCTCTCTCTCTCTCTCTCTCTCTCTCTCTCTCTCTCTCTCTCTCTCTCTCTCTCTCTCTCTCTCTCTCTCTCTCTCTCTCTCTCTCTCTCTCTCTCTCTCTCTCTCTCTCTCTCTCTCTCTCTCTCTCTCTCTCTCTCTCTCTCTCTCTCTCTCTCTCTCTCTCTCTCTCTCTCTCTCTCTCTCTCTCTCTCTCTCTCTCTCTCTCTCTCTCTCTCTCTCTCTCTCTCTCTCTCTCTCTCTCTCTCTCTCTCTCTCTCTCTCTCTCTCTCTCTCTCTCTCTCTCTCTCTCTCTCTCTCTCTCTCTCTCTCTCTCTCTCTCTCTCTCTCTCTCTCTCTCTCTCTCTCTCTCTCTCTCTCTCTCTCTCTCTCTCTCTCTCTCTCTCTCTCTCTCTCTCTCTCTCTCTCTCTCTCTCTCTCTCTCTCTCTCTCTCTCTCTCTCTCTCTCTCTCTCTCTCTCTCTCTCTCTCTCTCTCTCTCTCTCTCTCTCTCTCTCTCTCTCTCTCTCTCTCTCTCTCTCTCTCTCTCTCTCTCTCTCTCTCTCTCTCTCTCTCTCTCTCTCTCTCTCTCTCTCTCTCTCTCTCTCTCTCTCTCTCTCTCTCTCTCTCTCTCTCTCTCTCTCTCTCTCTCTCTCTCTCTCTCTCTCTCTCTCTCTCTCTCTCTCTCTCTCTCTCTCTCTCTCTCTCTCTCTCTCTCTCTCTCTCTCTCTCTCTCTCTCTCTCTCTCTCTCTCTCTCTCTCTCTCTCTCTCTCTCTCTCTCTCTCTCTCTCTCTCTCTCTCTCTCTCTCTCTCTCTCTCTCTCTCTCTCTCTCTCTCTCTCTCTCTCTCTCTCTCTCTCTCTCTCTCTCTCTCTCTCTCTCTCTCTCTCTCTCTCTCTCTCTCTCTCTCTCTCTCTCTCTCTCTCTCTCTCGCTCTCTCTCTCTCTCGCTCTCTCTCTCTCTCTCTCTCTCGCTCTCTCTCTCTCTCTCTCTCGCTCTCTCTGTCTCTCTCTCTCTCTCTCTCTCTCTCTCTCTCTCTCTCGTCTCTGTCTCTCTGTCTCTGTCTTAGTGCCGTCGTTCTATCTCTGTCGGCTGTGTGTGTGCGTGTGTATGCTTGTGGGTGTGAGAGGCAACGTCGAGACGACTTTATCGATCCATAGCTGATTCGCATTTCTGGCCGGACTGCGCAATGCTGCATACCAACAGGCGCGTGCAGTCGCCTCGACTAGAGAAGCAGCTTGCAGCTGATAAATACGTTTGGATTTTCCCAGCAACAGCAACCCGAGAACTTGCACAAACAATTAACGACTTTAGAATCTTAGTCAATTAGCGTTGCACTAATTTTTGTTGTTGTTGTTGCTGTTGCGCCGGCTGCAATTAGCGAAAAGCTCGTTTACCGGGTATACGATACTCGACTACTCGACTAGCTACAACCGATTACTCGACTACTCGCCCGCTGCACTAGCACGCAGAGGACGACGCCCTTTCATTGTGACCTGCGCTGACCTTTGTTGTCTGCCGCCGTTTGCGCTGCTTCTTGTTGTTGTTGTTGTTGTTTTTGCGACGCTGTCTGCATAATTTTTTATTTTTTTTTTGAATATTTTTTGTTTTATTTGCGAGCTTTAAGCGCTTGCTGAACATTTTTGGGGCTGAAACTTTTACAACGACGCATTGTGGTTGGGCTTGATTTCATTAATTAATACATTAGCCAGTAGATAAGGGCGACCCTAGCTGCTGCTGCTGCTGCTGTTCCCGCTCTCCGCTCTACACATTTGCATATTGCGTGCATGCAGTTATTACACCTGGCTATGCTATGTACTCGATACATGTATATGGCCATCTCGCTCGACTGACTGGCCGCCTGCTAATGAGCCAGACATGCCGGCCGCATGGACAGACAGAAACAGGCGCTGTCCTTAACCCCTGTGTTGTCCCCCATTTCTTGGCCGGACACCTGTACTCTCCAATACAAAAGGGCCGAAACGGCACACACATTTTCTGGGTGTTGCTAATAATGACGAAAACTGTTTGCTCTCGCACTACGTTCGCTCTCTCTCTGTCTCTCGCTCTTTTGTTCGCCTGCTTTCTTTTGCTCTATCTCTCTCTTGCGCTCCATCTCTCTCTCGCTCTCTGTTTGTTTGTGTGTGTAAGGTCAATGTCGTTTCGTTCGTTCTGGTATGCTCTCCCCCCACCCCCTGCTCACTCCTTTTTCATGAACGTGCGGACGCCCGCATTGCATGTATCGAGTTTATACATAGAGACCGACGTTGACGCCGTTGCCATTCATCCAAGCCGCGTATGACTCAAGTACTCGGACTGCCTCTGGGCTCTGGGCCCTGGTCTGGGGTAATTCTTTGTTTTTTCGTGCGTTTTTTTTTTGTTTTTTTTTTCTTTTAGCTGCTGCTGCTGCGCCCGTTTCTTTATTGTCTGGCGCTGTCTTCGTCCATTTCAAAGGCGGATTAATTTTAAACAATTTTGGTGGAAACAACGATAAAAATTACTTATGCGATGCATTATACACACACACAAACACACGCACACACTTACATTGAGATATATGTATGTGGATGTGTGTGCATATAGACACCTGCAGAGCTTGGTCTACGCTTAATTGATGCAGAAATTGCATGCACCGCTCTGCAGCATGGAAAGCTAAGCTCGAATGGTGCCGGAACCAAAGCCATAGCCGACTGTCTATATATGTAGCTGGCATGTTGCTTGACTTCTCTCATGCAATGATGATTAACTATATTGCACTAGCCACATAAACCAATGACTCACACGCACACCACGTACCCACTTAAATCGATAGGCGGCTCATTAAAGCAAACAAAAAAAAAAAACCTAAATGAATGTAATCCACAAAATTTTTTCAATTTTCTCTCGCATTGTTCTAATATGCCATTAAACTCCTAATAGGAGGAATACCATCTTATAGAAGAAGCAAAGAAATTATTTGGTTTAAACTGTTGTCTGATTGTTAGAAAGAAAGCAGTTAAGCTGATTTATATATAAATAGATATTAGATAGATATATATATAAGAGGGTATTAGTATTAAGATCTAATATCAAGATTCGGATAAAATAACTCAAAAAGCATTAAAGCAATTCTTGTGAAATAAATAGTAAACAAAAATTGGTATCTTAATACTAACTCAAATAATTATAGGTATTACCAAAAAAGAAATATATATATTAGATATTTATATACATAAATAGTTTTAGTAATTATTAAGTTTTGAGTTATTTTATATTGATTTAAATTAAATAAATTATTTAATTTAATAATTTAATTTAAATAAATGTAAAATTAGATGTTTGGATATTATATAAATATAAATTTAAATTAGTTGATGTGATTTGAATTTATATAGATTTGAATTATGTAACTAGAACGGGTAAAGGAGAAAACCGTTTGATCGAAATCCAAAACATTACCCAAAATAGCATAAAAAATGTAACTTCCCTAGAAAATACCCATGTCTATCAATTTTTTAAATTATACAAAAGATTAGTTATATGTTGACAAGAAGTTTCAGGTAGAAGCTATTCGAGCCACAAGTAAATGAAACATAATTATTAGAAAATTCGAAAAAACTTCAAAATTATGGCAATATCTATGTCAAGCACTCAAAATTCTCGATATCTTTTGTCTTGATACATAAATGAATTGGTTGAATACCAAAATAGATTTTTCTGCCTTTGTAAATGGAGGATAAAAAGTGGACATGTTGATTAGACACAACTACAAATTTAACATCTTGTCAAAATAGACAACAGCTCGCATCTAGTTTGTTAGCACTCAAAATAAAATCATTTGCAGTTGAAAATCGAACCTCTAAAGCAGAAGTTTTTTTTTCTGAAACTCTGTGAAGGTTACAATAGGGACTACATCCAAATATTTACTGCATATATGTATACCCAGTGTACTTTCGCACATTGCTTAATGGAATTAGTTAGAAAAGTGTGCCCAGTTTTAAGCTTAAAATTGAGGTTATGTGCGCGTGTGCTAACTTCAAATTGAGGTTAGGTGCATTTGATAATTAAAAATTGTGGTTATGTTATTTGACCCATTGATAAACTGGTCTGGCACTTACTGAAATCGATGAGGAGCCTTCCGTAGCCTTTACGCTGATATGGCGGCAGGGTTAGAATGCACGAGACGTTATAAAAGGAGTTCTTTTCCTGCAAGAATGGAATATGCTGAGAGTCGATATAAATGTTATTCAAGGTTTAACATGGGCTGAAAGCAATATAGTTTTTTTTTAAATTTATAACAATGCAAGAATTAACTATACATAACTCTTAAACTAACTATTAAGATTATTATAAACAATTATAAATTATACCATGTTAACAATAATTTGAGAATTTAATCAGTAAGAAAATGCCTGAGGCCATTCACACAGAAAAGCCAATCGGCCGGACAGACAAGCCATATAGACAGAATATTTGGTAGACTGAGTGTCAGACAGTTCTGGTTGGGGCTTGTCATTTATCGCTTCTAGCTTTTTCGGGAGTTCAATGACCAGGCGTCGCAGGAATTG